GGTGCTTCTACTAAATACTGAGCAAAGGGTCTGAATACTTATGACCATGTGATATTTCAGTTTTTCTTTTTTAATAAATCTGCAAAAATGTCAAAAATTCTGTGTTTTTCTGTCAATATGGGGTGTTGTGTGTACATTGAGGAAAAAAATGAACTTAAATGATTTTAGCATATGGTTGCAATATAACAAAGAGTGAAAAATTTAAGGGGGTCTGAATACTTTCCGTACCCACTGTAAATACAGTCCATTTACCAAATAGAATCATAAAAAGAACATGAAACAGTTATTTATAGAAAAGTTGTGATGAAGCCTTATGAAGCTTTGTGCTGAAGAATGATCTGAAGCTCTGGGGCCTCAAATAGACACTACAGTGACACCTGCTGGATTTTAAACCCTGTAGCAGCTCTTCAGGAGCAGAGCTGAAGCTCTGCAGTGCCTCACTGATCTGTACAGTTTTAGCCTCATGTGTTCCACCAGAACAGCTCCAGGGCACGTTGACTCTCCATTTCTCTGAACCTTCCTGGAGGGATGAACACCGTTCTTCCAACAGATGTTCCCTCGTGTGGTGTTTTGATGGTGGTGGCGGAGATGCCGTCTAATGCGTCGCTCCAATATCTCCCATAGCTGTTCAACTGGGCTGAGACCTGGTGACTGGGAAGGCCACAGCGTCTGGTTCACATCATGGTCATCCTCATCAGACCAGTTAGTGACCCCTGGTGTCCTGTGGACAGGGGGGGCTCTGTCATCCTGGAGGAGACCGCTCAGTCCATCTGGTCTCTTTTCTTTTGTCATCCGTGTGTAGCAGTGCCTGTTGGCACAGCTGTGTACTGTGTACTCTCCTTGTAAAGCACTTGTACTTGTGTGTTTCCTTCCTTCTTTTCATGTCTTCATTTCTCTCTTTCTTTTACTTTATTCCTTTCATCTTTGTCTCTTTCCTTTCCTCCTTTCCTAAGTTACATCTTTGAATCCATTTTTCCTTTAATATTTTTCTTTTCTTCCTTTGTCTCTTTCCTCTATTTCTTCCTTCCCTGTTCCCCCTCTTTTCTCTCTTCATATTTCATTTCTTTATATTCCTCTCCTTCCTTCTTTGACTATTTATTTCTTCTTGCTCCATTTGTTCCTTTTGTCCATTTATTTGTTCATTTCTTTCTCTTTCCATTCATCTCCACTATTTTATGTATTTTCTTCATCCTTGTTTCTGTGTTAAATCCCCCCATCCATCCATCCCTCCCTCCCTCCAATCCAGCTGCACAGAAGCACATTACTTACCAGCCGAGGCAAACAGCAGCCTCCCTCCTCCCTCTGCCTCCTTTATCCCTTCATATCCCCCCTCCCCCTTCTCCTCTTCATCCTCCCAATCTGCGCAGACTCTCCCTCCCTCCTCCGCTGCCTCATTTTATGGTGGAGCTTCACATCTGCAGCGCTCCCTCTCTCTCAATGATGGTTTCCGTTTGAGGAGGTCCTTCTTCAGTCGGTCAGTCGCTCACAGAGGAGGAAGAGGAGCAGGAGCAGGAGGAGGTGTAGTTAGTGGCGGCTGCATCTGCATGGCGCTGGGGGGGGAGGCGACGCTCGGCTCGGCTTCACCATGATTGCCGTGTCGTTTAAATGTCGCTGCCAGATCCTGCGCAGGGTGAACAAAGGTAGAGAGACACAGAGGAACACTGGAAGAAAGCGAGAGAGAGCAGATGCGTGTGTGAAGCTAAGCATGTTTGCATGTGTAACATACATGTTGGCACGGTCGAGCGACATTTGACATTGAAAAGGGAGAGAGGGGGTTGTTTATGACCAAAGCCAGCTGTGAGTGTGTGTGTGCATCTAAGTGTGTGTGGTGCTGGAACTGATCGGCTGATGGAGTCATTCGGTCGATCGCTGCAGGTTGCTTTGGACGAGACACCTTCAGAGTGATTGTGAGCCCAGAGAGAGAGAGAGAGAGAGAACATCTTATTTTCATGAATGTAATATTCATGGTGTGTATGAGCAGAGGAGGACGGCGGGCAGACACACAGTGAGCTCACCTTTCTGTTAACCGGTCTAATTTGACTTGGTTTTGTTAGGACGTCTGGGGCTGTTTGGAGCTTCAGGTGTTCTCTTGTTTGGTATTCACTCATTTGCTGTGATTACACCTGTTCATCAGTGAATACACTCAACTTTATTTACACATCATGTAGAGACAGGGAGAGAAAACCAGCTCCAAGTGCTGGCACAGTATTTCACTTTTATTATGGTATATTACTGCCATATTACTCAGCACATGTAGTTAGAGTGCTGTCTTTAGTCTCTGTTAGTGTCTTCTTAATATAGTTTTCTTTAGTATATTTAGTTATTGTCTATCTCTATATACCATGTATCATTTTAAAGACACTGGTAAAACTGTGAATTATTAATATCTCCAATGATTTGCAGACAGAAAAGGCACAAAATCAAGTTGGGATAAAATCACAAATACATAAGTACATTTTTCTGTTGTGTTTGTGTGTAAAAATAGTGACACATCCCTGTTGTGTAACGATGTCTGAATAGTATTTTTACTTGTTTTACTGTGTATATTTATTACATAGTATGTAGATCTGTTTTATTTTGTTCTATCTATCGTGATTTAAGCATGTGATTTAATAAGCAGCATGAACATCAGTGAAATTGTTTACTGATTATTCATTTTATTTATTTTGTGACAAGCCCTGAAGAATATAAACAGAGTTTTTGTTTGTCTTTTTAAGAACCTGATGGATGCTGGTGTCTATATTTCACTTACCTACCACATAATCTCATAGATTTTGCTTAACTACTAAGCTATAACGAGCTGGTCACTTATGTCCATCTTACCTTGTAACTAGAACCCATTTGCATCAACCTTCCTTGTATTTTACCACTAATATTTAGAAGGTCATGAGGAAAATGTTCAGGAAATTAGCTGGAAAATACAGGACCTGCATTTTACTGCTGCTGTTGGTTTTTGCCTGTAGGTGGCGCTGGTCGGACTGAAGCTGCTTCTAGCTGAGAGTGAGTTCAGATGCTCGATTGTTGACATGCTGTGTGGCCTTGTTTAGCCAAATGTAGCTCAAACCTTTGAGATAATGTTATATATTTTATATAAGACGTGGCAGTGATCTGTACAGTTTGTGTGTGCAGGTTGAACTGTAGAAAGGGAGAGCTGCTGCTGCCCCACATCTGGAGGAGAAGGAGGAGGCTTAGCTTTCATCTTCAGTGTGTGCGTGTGTGCGTGCGTGCGTGCGTGCGTGTTCAGAGTTTTGTTGTGTTTCTGAGCTCAGCTGCTGGAACCAAACAGAAGAGACACAGAACAGATCTAGAGCCAATTAGAATAAACTAGAATAAATTAAAACAGAATATGAAATATAACCACACTGAAGACTGGAAGAGAACAACCGCACACTAAGCTGGAACAGAAGATAACACAAACATAAAGCAAAGCAGGCCGCAAACTCAGCTAACAATATAAAGGCAGCTTTTTTTCTTTCTGACACAGAGAGTTTCAGCACAACCAGTTAAAGGAACTGGTTGAGGTTTGGAGCCCAAGCTGGTAAACCTCTCAAGAGTTAAAGGGATGAGCTCAAACTCAATTAGATAAACTGGTACACCATTTGAACCAGATAGTCCTGGTGGTTGGCTTCAAAACCAGTGAAAGGAACTGGTAGGTTTTTTGAGAAACTAGTAGAGCTTCTAAACCAGTGTGTTATTGTGTATAGTAACGTATGTCGTGTGTTTCTTTGTGTTTCAGATGAGGGGCCATACACCAAGCACTCTACTGGGTCCAGACCTTCAGATGGAGCGCTGGCCATCAGGAGGCAGAGTATACCAGGTAACACGCATGAAGTAAAATCTGCTGAATCCAGCAGCTCTGAAACACAGAGGCAGCTGATGGCCTCTGGCTGTCACCTGCAGGAAATGGCCTGCGGTCGCAGTTTCTCTCCTCCTGCCTGCAGCTAGTGCCCTACTTGCAACTTCTATCCGAGTCCTGTGATCTGAATGAGCTAGTACTGCTGCAGTGATAAATATAAGCTGCATTTTCCCAGTGTTCAAATGAATGTCGGTGCTATTCTGCTACTGGGGAGCTGTTCCGCCGATGGGCAACCTTCCAGTCTTTCTCCAGTGACCACACACCATTTGAGAAACTGGTTCAGTACCTGTTACAGGAACTGGTTGAATGTCAGAATAATAAGAAATAACAACAGAGGTTTGGAGCTATTTAGAGGAACTGGTGGTGATGCAGAGCCAGTTACTGTAACTGGTGGATCTTTGGAACCAGTTCAAGGATACACCAATTGAGCTGTTATTGTTTTCAATCAGTAAGAGAAACTGGCAGAGCTTCACAAGTAGTTAGAGGAAGTGGTAGAAGTGTAGAGGTTTTGAACCAGTTATGGGGAGTGGTGGTGTTTCTACACCAGTTAGAGCCTCAGAACTAGTTTAGCAACCTGGTAGATGTTTGAACCAGTCAGAGGAACATGTGGAGCTTCAAAACCAGTTGATTAAAAAGCTGCTGCAATGTCATTTAGTGGAAAAGGTGAGGCTGTGGAAGTTTTTATCCTAATTTAATTTGATAGTGGACAGTTGAGGGGTGGCAAAATCTGGACAGTATGTGTCCAACTTTAGAGCAACTGGTTGAGCTTCAGATCCAGTTAGTGGAGTGCACAGCTTTATAGTCTCTTAGAGAAATGAGTTCAGTTTCAGAACCATTTACAGGAACTGGTGGAGTTTGTCAACCAGTTAAAGAAAGCTGTGAAGAAACTTCAGAACTCATCAAAGAAACTGGTAGAGCCTCTGAACCAGTTAGTGGAATGTTCCGAGTTTCAGAACCAGTGCAAGGAAACTGTAGAACTTCAAAAGTAGTTAAAGAACTGGAAGAGATCCTAAACCAGGTAGAGGAACTGGTAGTTCCTCAGAAGCAGATACACAAAGTAACAGAGCTTCACAACTACTAAGAAGAATGGTAGAGCTTTTGAACCAGTTAGATGAGCTTGTGGATCTATAACCAGTTGATAGATGAAATAGTAAAGCCTCAAGGGCTCTTACAGAAACTGGGAGAACCTCAGAAGCCGATAGAGGAACAAACAGAGCCTCACAACTTGTAACTCTTTCAAGTGTTTCTCACCCGCTGCTGCAGGAAACTGGTTCATCTCGTACTGTTTTCAGAACGGAATATTCTAGGCTTTACTTTTTCAGAGTGTACGCCGGAGCTGCTGAGTTAGAAAAGATGAAAAGGACACTGTAAAGCCTCTTTGGAGGAGGAGACAGTGATGGTCATTGCCAAAGATCAGATGTCTTAATCCTGTCTGAATGAAGGAGAGTGAAACTGTGCCCGATTAATATTCTAATACAGCATTTATATGAACTCATGCTCGCTGTTTTATCACCTGAGGACCGGTCACGTCACATTGTACCAGGTCTGCATTGAAATATCTCCCTCTGCATCTGTCTTTTCTGCTGTTAAATATTTCAGGTGTTTGATAAAATATAGATGGAAGACAGAAGAGAGGATGACTTCACTTCTCTGTGTGTCCAGGTTGTTATTTTATTTCTCCGTGTTGAGAGTCCCAGCACATGCTGGCGTCAGAGTGCAGAGAAAGGAGAGGGGCTGAGCTGGAACAAACAAAACTGGAAGAAATAAATTGTGCTGTGAAGTCATTTAATGGCACGGAATAATCACCTCCTTCTTATTGTGACATAGATGAGTTTCGGGGCTGCTCAGTGGTGGAGCTGATGAAGAAGGAGGGCACAACACTCGGGCTGACAGTTTCAGGAGGCATTGACAAGGATGGCAAACCGCGGGTTTCAAACCTGCGCCAGGGAGGCATTGCTGCCAGGTAACACATCACCTGGCTGGTTCACTGTGTCAGGTCATTGTACTCTGTTCTAACGTACACCCAGTGACTGTATATCTTCCATATATATATCAACAATAAATCACAAAATACAGCTACAAGAATGTGAACCTTAAAGTTGCTGTACATGGTGGATTTCATTCTGTGCTAAACTAACAGAGTTTGTCACCATCATTTAATTTGTTTTAAAGTTGCAAACCTGCAGACTTGTGTTAATTTAGCCTGAGTGCCTTGGCCTGGGTCTGCAATGGAATGCTGTGCTTATCTGTGAAAAAAGACAAAAACCAGCTGAAGTAAAATAAGAGCCGATGTTCTGGCGGTTTGCTCAGGAGTGACCAGTTGAATGTGGGCGACTACATCCGCTCTGTCAACGGCATCAACCTGGCCAAGTTCAGGCACGATGAGATCATCAGTCTACTGAAGAACGTCGGGGAGCGAGTCGTCCTGGAGGTCGAGTACGAACTGCCGCCTGTCTGTAAGTATTAGCAATAGTATTAGCAGTAATATACTGAGGGATATACAGTATACAGTATGCATTATAGTATATTTAAACCCATCTCTTCATTGGCGAACACACTGTACGGGCTTTTTACATTAACTGTTGACATTTTAAACAGTCGTTATTTACATCTGTAGACCTTTTTATTTTAGGAAATACGTGTGAATTTTTTATATTTTAGTGATTTTTATTTTATTTTTGTATGATATATATTTTTATTTTAGTGATTTATAGACATGGACTTTCATTGGAAAAGGCTTAAACACACATTGGGATAAAATCACTTTATTTCTTACCTTTTTCTGTTGTATTTGTGCATAGAAATAGTGAAACAGTAGTTTTTACAGCCTTGAACTGTTCTGTAATAATAATTTTGAAAGATTATGTCTGAAAATATTTTTGCGGCACACGTCTCGTTGTTAATGTGCTTTAGATTCCTGGCAGCTTTATAAATTGTTAAATTGACAAAATGCTCCAAAACAGCGTTTAAAAGCTAAAGTAAACAAATGCAAAGAGAGTCGGCAGAAATGAGCCAACCGGGGGGAGCTAATGCTGATGTGTTGATGCTGTGGTGTGTTGCAGCGGTGCAGGGGTCAGGGGTCATGTTTAAGAATGTGGAAGTCACCCTGCACAAAGAAGGAAACAGCTTCGGCTTCGTCATCAGAGGTGAGAGGAACTCTATGTGTGTGTGTGTGTGTGTGTGTGTGTGTGTGTGTGTGTGTGTGTGGACCATTAATATGAAATAAATAAAGTGAAATGCATGACATTATTGTGTGTTTTGCAGGTGGGGCCCATGAGGACAGGAACAAGTCTCGGCCCATCGGCATAACATCCATCAGGCCAGGCGGACCGGCCGACAGGTGAATGACCTCTGCCCTCTCTGTGCGTTTGTCTGAAGGGTTTTTGTCCACTGTTAATTCTGGCTCCTGATTTTGATTTAGTTTGTTGGTCTTTGAACAAACTGTAAGTTAGTTATTTAGTCAAGTTTGGGTCATTTGATTTTTGTACTTTTATTTTTAGTCACAAAAACTAAAGATATTTTTTGTCTATTTTTCATCTGTCATAATTTTCTATTATATTTGTCGTGTGTTTTTAATTGTTATGTCTTCTGAATATTTTGAGGCAACAGCTGCGGCCATCTTTGTTGTTTACAGTTACTATGGTTACAGGTGTTTACTTTCTGACACAAGTTCTCAAAAGTTCTCTAAATTCAGTTTTCATTATAAACTCTCTCTTGTTCCTGGTCACATAGTATTAGCATTAATTACCATAGCTACCTTGGCCTGTAGTTATCCAACTGTTAAAAGTCATATATTTGGACTTAAGTGAAAAATAAAAGTAAAATCCTTCAGTCTGTCTTTTCTCTGTCTTTCCAGAGAAGGAACCATCAAACCGGGTGATCGGCTGCTGAGCGTCGATGGGATTCGTCTCCATGGCAGCACTCTCTCTGAGGCCATGAGTATCCTGAAACAGTGCGGACAGGAAGCGACACTGCTGATCGAGTATGACGTCTCAGTCATGGGTCAGTGTAAACTCTCTGTATTCACCTCAAACAGTTAGTACAATCACATAAAACCAGTCAGCAACTATTTCAGTAATGAACCCTGTGAAAAAGCGTGTGAAGTAGATACCGAAAACTCTGTCTCTGTTTTCCGTCCCTCAGACTCAGTTGCCACGGCATCGGGGCCGCTGCTTGTAGAGGTTGCCAAGGCAACAGGGTCCAGTCTGGGCGTGGCTTTGTCTACCTCCATGTTCTGCAACAAACAGGTCATCATCATCGACAAGGTCAAACCAGCCAGCATAGCAGACAGGTACCTGACCTCTGACCCTGAAGGTTTGAAAGCTGATGGTTATCACTATAGATGTGAACAGAAAAAGGGGTTTCAAACAGTTTAGCGCTGATGCATGGATTCATTTTCTATTTCTATTTGTCTGTTCATTTTCACATTGTATTTATTATTTGTGTAATTTATTTCATGTTGTTTAGTTTTGTGTGTTTTTTATTAATTATGTTAAGCATAAGTTTTTAGGTTTGGTTTTGCAGGAGTTCCTAACTTGTGTGTGTGTGTTTTTGTGTGTGTCTACGTGTGCTCTATGTTTTTGTATGTGCAGGTGTGGTGCTCTTCATGCAGGAGATCATATTCTGTCTGTCGATGGGAAGTCGATGGAGTTTTGTTCTCTGGCTGAAGCCACTCAGCTGCTCTCTGCTTCTTGTCAGACCGTCCGTTTGGAGATCCTGCCACAACACCAGGCCCGACCAGCCCTGAATGCACCGCAGCATGGTATAAACATAGACATACCACACCCAGTGGGCCCTGAACACACCACAGCATGGAATAAACATAGACATACCACACCCAGTGGGTCCTGAATGCACCACAGCATAGAATAAACATGGACATACCACACCCAGTGGGCCCTGAACGCACCACAGCATGGTATAAACATAGACATACCACACCCAGTGGATCCTGAAAACACCACAGAATGGTATAAACATAGACATACCACACCCATGGGCCCTGAACGCACCACAGCACAGTATAAATGCACACACAAACTCTAGACAGAATTTTAAATACATACATAGGAAAAATTACATAAATAAGATGTAATCTTATATAATGCTGTGATACAAGTAGCTGCCTGACCTCTGACCTTCCCCCTTGTTTTAACCTCAACCCCCTCCTGTGTGTGTGTGTGTGTGTGTGTGGGTGTGTGTGTTTGCGCGTGTGCGTACAGTCAAGGTGCAGCGTAGTCCCCGCCCCCTACCCTGGGAGACTGGAGGCTCCGCCCCCATCCTCCCCCCCTACCACTACAACACGTACCACCCTGACCAATCAGCTGCCAGATCGCACAACCGCCATACAAGTAACCCTCGTACGTCCACATAGCTCTCTCCCTCTGAAGTGTATTTTATTTTGAAAGAGTGGCCTCTGCTCACCCTGTCTCTGACTCTGAAGTGTTTTATTTTGAAAGAGTGACATCTCTCTTTTCACTCACTCACTCATTCTCTCCCGGCTCCATGTCGGCCTATAGTCTCTCGTCCCTCAACATGAGCACCCTGCCCAGGAACATGTATCCTACAAGTCCACGGGGCACGTTGATGAGGAAGAAAGGCAAGAAGAAAGACTTCAAGAGCTCACGTGAGTCTGACCTCTGACCTCTGAGTGCCGGAGTGCACTTTTCACTCCACTCAGTCTCGACTCTTCCTGTCTCTCTGTCCATCAGTGTCTCTCGCGTCCAGCACCGTGGGTCTCGCTGGCCAGGTTGTTCACACGGAAACCACAGAGGTGACGTTGCTAGGTGACGGCATCATGGGGTTCGGCCTGCAGCTGCAGGGCGGAGTCTTCGCCACGGAAACCTTATCCTCGCCGCCGCTCATTGCTTACATCGACCCCGACAGCCCGGCTGAAAGGTGAACAGACCCCTTCGCTGTTTACTCTCTGTGTCACGATGTAGACTTAAATTATATAGAAAAAATCTGTCTGTCAGTAACTGATAATGTGTTTTGCAAATATTACAATTACAGCTTCCAACAATTTTCCCTTGTCCTGTTACATCTGAACCCCTGTGTCTGTGTTTGTAGGTGCGGCATCCTGCAGATCGGTGACCGGATTTTGTCCATAAATGGAGTTCCTACTGAAGACTCCACTTTGGAAGAAACCAATCAGCTGCTCAGAGACTCATCCATCACTGCTCAGCTCACACTGGAGATCGAGTTTGATGTGGCCGGTACACAAACACGCACACAGTTTTAGTTTATTTATTTCAGGTTGCCTTTAAAGAAAACCTAAAGCCTCCTCTTCTGCGATGGATTGGCGACCTGTCCAGGGTGTACCCTGCCTTCGCCCGATTGCCGACCGGGATTGGCTCTGGCGCCCCCTGTGACCCCGTTCAGGGACTAAGCGGTAGAAAATGAATGACTGAATGAATAAAGCCTCCTCTTGTCAAGGGCAGCAGAATCCTCTGTGCACTGTTGCTGTCGTCCACTGTTAATTATAGCTCCTGGTATTACTTTAGTCCTGGTTTCATGTGCTGCTCTGATTCGTTGAGCTTGGCTTCAGACAAGCAGCTAAAACATCAGACAACAATAACACGGTGATAATCCTCTATCAGACGTGTCGAGGATGATTTAGACATTTGAATCTGCACAGCACAAAATATTTATCAGGTGTCATGTTAAAGCTGACTGAAAGTAACCGATGGTAAAACTGTGTAAAGCTGATACATGAAGTAGTTGTCAGAAAATTCCAATTCTCCAATTTTGTCGGGATGTTTCAGTTCCACGCTAGTTATATCTGTTTTGCCAGGTGCTGTGGTTCGCTAGCGTGGGCCTGCAGTCTTACAAACACTCTGACCAGAATGAATGACCAAAATTCTCTGGGAGAATAAAATGGTTTGCAGCTGATGAAGAGAGTCTCCCAGTCCATGTGGCGAGTTTTCTCTAACACTGTGCCATCTTTACACCAGCCTTCATTAATGCAGAATCAGATTCCGCCTCCTCTGTGATCTGCTCTTTGTACCCGGAACCCCGGGATTTGTACCGCGCTGTCGCTGAGCCAAGTCTCCGTGGAGCATAGAGCAGCAGAGCGTGAGAAGTCAGAGTTAGTCTGGTTGATGAGAAGGAGTCCATCCATCTTGTTGGCTAGAGAGTGAAGATTTACTAGATGGATAGATGGGAGCGACGTCCGGGTCCCCCTCTGTCGCAACTTAACCAGGGCCCGATTTTCTTTTCTTTTTATATGTGTCTTCCTGTGTGTTGCTGTAGTTTGTCCGAGCTGTGTTGTCACCACCTTTCATCTGACTTTCTGTTGCTTTGCAGCTGATTAACATCAGTCTGTGGGTTTGTTTCTTACAGTCACAGTAGCTGATGTGAATTGCAGAAACAAACTGCTACTGAAATGCAAGATGATGCTTTTTATTAGCACAGCTAATATTTGCTCAAAACTTAATATTGTATAATTCTACAGACATGCATGCAGTTTATTGAATAATGCATTCAAACAGTCTTTAGTTCATTTGTCCATATGTCCATCAACACATTTTGTCAGTGTCTGTTTGCAAACTCTATTGTTTTCACTGTGATAAAAGTGTCTGAATGTTTCTCATCCTGGTTTTGTTGCTGCAGCAGAGACAAACAGTTTGGCATTGTTTTGGCTGACTGGCTGTCAGTCTGTGTTTAGTTCTGCTTCTTTGTAATTTGTCAGTGTAACATACTCCGGCTCGTGTAAATAACCACCTACATCCAGAGACAACACACCACGTTGTCAGCGGTGACTCACACACGGGGAACAATCTCCGAGGGAGGAGATGCTGCATGAGACGCCGCTGATGGTGATCACAGGATACCGGCAGCAAGGCCACATCGCTACTACGCTGTCTGCAGGGGAACTTTACCTTTCACCGAGATCAACGTTATGATCATCATGTTTCTGCGTGTCGTAAAATGGCTGTTTAACTGTGTCTTGTTGCTTTGTGTTGCTGAATAGTGCATGTTTACTCTATCCTTGTTACAGCTGCAGTCGAATTGATTGACAAAAAATGATCAACTATTTTGATGCCAGTTCATCATTTCATTTTTTTAATGAAAAATGTCAAATATTTGATGGTTGCAGCTTCTCAAACATGAGAATTTGTATGTGGTGTATTTTTTTATAAGCATATTTATTGAATTATAGTTACTTCAGGGCAGCACGGTGGCACAGTGGTTAGCGCCGTTGCCTCACAGCACGAAGGTTCCGGGTTCGGGTCCCGCCCAGGACCTTTCTGTGTGGAGTTTGCATGTTCTCCCCGTGCTTGCGTGGGTTCTCTCCGGGTACTCCGGCTTCCTCCCACAGTCCAAAGACATGCAGCTTAGGTTGATTGGTGTCTCTAAAATTGCCCATAGGAGTGCATGTGCGTGTGTCTGGTTGTTCGTCTATGTGTTAGCCCTGCGATGGATTGGCGAACTGTCCAGGGCGTACCCCGCCTTCGCCCGATGGCTGGCCGGGATTGGCTCCGGCCCCCCCGTGACCCCGTTCAGGGACAAGCGGTAGAAAATGAATGAATGAATGAATAGTTACTTCACTGCAGTATATTACTATTTACTGTAGTATATACTCTATCGCCCACTCTTTGCCGGTAATTATGAGGAAATTTACTATTGTTTTTCAAACGAAACACAGCAAACAAACACTGCACTAGTATTTTAGTGTATTAATAGCTCAGCCTGGATGGAGAGGCGTGAGCTTCTCTGACACCTGTAACAAGCCCATCTCTAAAACGTGGTCATCTGTGACTGAGACTATAATGAGGAGACAGATTTCATTTCACAGTGAAGTGAAATTTGCTGTTTTCCATCTCCTGTCTCTCAGAGTCGGTCATCCCCAGTTCTGGAACATTCCACGTGAAGCTCCCAAAGAAACCGGGCGTAGAGCTGGGAATCACCATCAGCTGTGAGTAAAGACACAAGCGAAATGAGAACGTTGTTCTTCAAGTTTCAGTTTAATACCTGAGATGTTTCTTAGATTTCTTATATGGACTGTTATTGCCCTCACTTGCTTCTTAATCCCACCCACATAACATAAGAGAAGAGAGGAATTGAGGAAAAATGGTGGAGGATCAAGGAACGATCATATAAGAGACATGAGAAACTTAACTGCAAGATTTATGACATCACAGCTATGGTGTAGCCAATCAGAGTCCAGTATGAAACATTTGTCAGTTCAATCTTACGCTTTGCTTTGATTTCATTTTTCTTTTCAACATTTAATCATTCTTACTCTTAGTCGTTGAGGGAACATGATCACCTGACAGTTTTCTGTCTGTGTGCAGCTCCGTCCAACAGGAAACCAGGTGATCCTCTGATCATCTCTGACATCAAGAAAGGCAGCGTCGCACACAGGTACACACTGGCACTTTATTAATTGTTTAGCTTTTACTTGCTGATGAAAACAGTAAAGGGTTTTGTCATAGTTCTTGTTTCTAAATGTTGCTTTTGTAGTTTTAATCTCACTTACTTCATTGAAGTTTTTACTGACACTCACTGCAGCGTCTGATGGTAGGACAGACTTAATGTGTGTTGATGCTCGGTCAGCTGCCTGTAGCTGGTTGATTAATTAGACCAGCAGTCCAGACCTGTGTGTGTGTGTGAGTGTGTGTGTGTGTGTGTGTGTGTGTGTGTGTGTGTGTGTGGTGTTATAGGTCAGGTGTTTTGGAGTGTGAAGCAGAAAATGTGAATGAAACAGCGTCTGTGGGGAGTAGCTGTATTCTGTCGATTATTTTTAACAGTACAGCAACATGGCAGTCGTTCCTGTGCTGTCTATTTATATAAACACGCATGTTACTGTTTTATTCTAGGACGGGGACGTTGGAGCTCGGAGACAAGCTGCTGGCCATCGATAACATCCGGGTGGAGAACTGCTCAATGGAGGAGGCCGTTCAGATCCTGCAGCAGTGTGAGGAGCTCGTCAAGCTGAAGATCCGGAAAGACGAGGACAACTCGGGTATCACTTCTTAGAGTTTATTTTCAGAGTATTTCCAGGTCTTAAAAGGCACTGAACACATTTCCAATAAAGGTTAGATGGATTTATTCACAAAGGTCTTGTATATACAGGAGTAAAGTAGAGATAAAATCAGTGTGAATCAACATGCACCACTTCACCAGTGGTACACATTATGCATGTTGACATCAGAGGCTGCAAAGTTCCTGCAGGGTGATTTCTTCTGGCCCTGAATGTGTTCGGAATTTTATATTATAGTATTTTATTTAAAAATCTTTACACTGAAGATTTGGACAGCATGGTGGAGCAATGGTTAGCACTTTTGCCCCACAGCGAGAAGGTTTTGGGTTTGAGCCCTGGCCAACCCACAGAGTTTGCATTTTCTCCCTGTGCTCTTTCTAAACCCAAAAGAAATATGACATTATTCACATGTCCCCAGTCACAGAGGGCAACCTGGCCAGTGGCCCCCAGGTAATTTGAGTTTGAGACCCCTGATATACAGTATATTTTCACCATTCTTTAACCAGCACCAGCACAGCCTGTCATCTGAAACTGACCTCTTTAAGGACTTCTCAAACTTTTCCAGGACCTACAAAACAAATCCTAGAAACTAAACAAAGATAAACTGGAACCTCCATCAGTCTTTTATTAATCCTCTGTTGTTTCCTCTATTGCCATCTTCAGGACAAACATTATAATTTTAGCATGGTGCTGAAAATGAAAATCATCAAACTGTTGGCTCCATGTGAACATCTGTCCCATCATGCCATGCGTTCTCAGTTCATCCCCCGAATGAATCCTTGCTGAATGTTTCAGATGAACAGGAAGTGTCTGGCAGCATCATCTACACGGTGGAGCTGCAGCGCTATGGAGGCCCGCTGGGAATCACCATCTCAGGCACCGAGGAGCCCTTCGACCCCATCATCATCTCCTCACTAAGCAAGGGGGGGCTGGCTGAGAGGTACACGCATTTGTACTGTGTGTTAAATTTAACATTCATCTAATGATCTCTGATGCCATGTTTAAGAGGCTGATAACCTATTAAATATAAATATAAAATAAATGGGGAAACAAAGGCTACAAGTTCAAGCAAACAGGTAAGGAACTACATTGATATGAGTTTTAGTTATTTTTAGACAGAGAGATAGAAAACCAAGAGAACATGGTAAACACATTGACTGAAAATAAATAGAATTACCGCCTCTGCCTCTTCTGTATGCCTCCACCAACCAGTCAAATACACAGGAATAGCACAGATGTGAGGTCACTGTGACCTTGACCTTTGACCCATAAGCTCCAAAATCCAGTCAGTTCTTCCTTGAGTCAAAGTAAACACTTGTGGCAAATTTGAAGAAATTCCCTCAAAGCATTTCTGAGATGGGGTGTTCACCAGAGTGGGCCAGCCAGACGTCTTTTTACAGTTAATCTTGTCACGAGTTTCTGCAGCTGCCCTTACCGAGGCTATGTTTGTGTGTGTGTTGTAGGACTGGCGCGATCCATGTGGGAGATCGTATTCTGGCGATCAACAGCAGCAGTCTGAAGGGAAAGCCTCTGAGTGAAGCCATCAGTTTGCTGCAGCAAGCAGGCGAGACGGTCACCCTGAAGATCAAGAAGCAGGGAGAACGTACGCACTCACCTACACTCTCTTTCACATGATTAAAACCATTATTAGGGACAATGTCAGAATTTCACATAAAGATGAAAATTCATTGACCCGTCACTCTGAAATCAGGGCTGGGTCAGGTCTGGTTTGTTAGTTTAACACATCACTGCCGTGTTCCCGGCTCTGGTGTGAACACAGCTCCGAAACTGCCACAGATGTAACTGAAATGTGAGCCGCGTACATTCAAGAATAACAATCAGGTCGTGTGTTTCCTCCCAAACCGCTGGGTTACAATATGTTCCTTCCAGTTTGGCCTGATCAGAAGCCTCTCCATAAATGTCCAGCACACGTGAAACGTCCTCATCTCTAGATGCCTACCCGATGGATAAGAACTTCTAAACATCATAAACTTTTGCACAGTGCTGTCTTCAGTTTTCTCTTAAACTGATTGTGCACTTTGTTCCCTGAGATTGACTCTTTGTTTCCTTCTTTATGCTTCACCTCTGTAGTTTCAAGCCCAAAGTCTTGTGTGATTGGTCCAGGCCTGGGGTTGGGGGCAGGGCTCGGGCAGGAGAACCAGGATGGGCAGGAGGACCCTGTCATTATGGTTGCGCCTCGGTCGAGTCAGAGAGCATTCGGCACGCTGCCATCCGTCGACAGCGCTGTCGAGTCCTGGGATGGATCCAATATGGACAGCAGTTTCACCACACCAGGTAGGGACCTGACCTCTGACCCCTGACCTCCTCCTTCAATTCAGGATATCAGCAGATCTGAAAAAGTCTTTAAAATCATTCAATTTTGTTCCAGTAAAGTAGAGGTAAAGGTATTAAATTGCATTATGTGTAGTATTAAAAAGGTCTAAACAAAGTATAAATTAAAAAATATAATTTGGTGTACACTGCTGAAGCCCTGTTGATACTTAGGGTAATAGAATAGTTCTGTCTTTGTTTGTAGCTCCTTCGTTTCCGGCGTCTCCGTACAGTTTCCACGAGTGGCGCAGCATCAAGACAACAAACAGTCAGTCATCATCCTCCACTCGCCAGAGAGCCAATCCCCTGTCAGATCTGGGTCTGAGTGATGATGAATGGGACCGCCCACCACTTGGAGGGTGAGACAGAAGGAAATTAGAAAGCAAATTTCTAAGTGGAAGTAAATGGAACTCGACAAATGTGTAATTATTGGAACAAGTTTATATATTACTACTAAATATATTGAAAAAATTAAAAACCTGTATAAAACATACAATAATGGCTGAATAACATTTACACACACCAGAGCATTGATCATAAACCCATAATAAACATTTGCAACATTTATTAAACAGCAGTGTCAGCACTTATCAAAACTATCCAGCATGTAATTAAAATCCAGGTCTTTGCCAAGATCACAGGAATTTTGATTATTTTCCATCAAGTACTTTTGTGATTGCTTAAGTTTTAATGCACCAAAACCTAATGATGTTGGCTCTCGTCATAGGCTCTGTCATTCTGGTTTGTTTTCTACCTCTTATGTCTTATGATAACATCAGTTGAAAACTCATCTGTATCAGCCAGCCAGTTTCACATTTTTACATTTCTAAAATTCCCCCAGATCCCCCCAAGTCGATATTAGCATGTTAGAATTCCTTAGTCAAATGAGTTGGCGTTACTAGCGGCAAGCTAACGGCGGTAACAGCAGTGTGTCTCTGTCTGCAGTGCCTGTGATCTGCCCAGTGGTCTAATCAATGACAGCAGGTACCACACTGACCTTTGACCTTTAACCCCCCACACAATCCACTTGTCTGACCTCCAGCAGGAACCCTGACCTGGTGACCTTTGACCCCTGCCACACTGACACATATACCTGGTGGTTGTGTACGTTGTCACTCTCACCAGCCTGACCTGTGTGTGTGAAGCCATCAGGCTGTTCTCCCCCCCTGATTGGCTGACCTTTGACCTTTCCTTCAGGTTCACTGTGGGACATGATGGGACAGAACCGGACCAGGAGGAGAACTTTTGGTCTCAGGCCCTGGAGGATCTGGAGACCTGTGGCCAGAGTGGCATCCTCAGAGAGCTGGAAGTGAGCACTACTGTTACAGTTACTACTGTTAGACAGAGTAGTAGTACTTGGAGCTTAAGCTAGCTAATATTTGTGGTAGCTATACATGTAGTAGTACTGGTAGAACAAGTAGTTGTAGGGCTGGGTATAATAGAACATTTGTACTGATACAATATCTCGCTTTCAATTCCAAAACTGTTTTTTCAATAGCTTTGAGGAATTTAAATGTTTTTATGGGAAAATAGAACCAGTCAAAATTTAGAGAATTAGCAAAGATTTTACTTGATGTGACCATGTAAGTGTAATTCAATGGATTCATAGGATCTTTAAATGCATGAGCTGAATAACCACATTACCAAACAATCAAACAGCGAATCAGTCACTCAATGAATCATAGTATCAATCACTCAATACACAACATCAGCACTCAGTCAGCAATCAGCCATGAGAAGATTAAGAATATCAAAGCCAAAAGTGTTTAAATAATAAAATGTTTACAATTATCTTTTAAAAAAAAATCTATCTTAAATAAAAATGTGGTTGCTCAGTACTTTAGACAAGTACATCACAATAACACAACATGATCATATTTTCAGGAGTCTTTTAACAAACATAGAGGATTATACTGAATTACTGCCCAGCCCTGTGAAGTAGTAGTATTTCAGGTGTACACTCAGTTTCATGTTTCATCTTTGGAAATGCAGCAGTAAATGTTAGTGACTGAGCTGAAAAGAGAAATGACTCCTTCTCTTCCAGGAGTCTGGAAAGGAGTCGCACCTCCTCACTCTGGTATCCTCCCTCCTCCCCACTACTAACGCTCCTCCTGTCCTCTCCTCTCTCTAACTGGACTTTTAGCTCTGTTAAACACTAGGCGTGTTTTTGAATGTGACTCTAACTGCACCGCAGCAGCAAGCCACGCACCATAGTGACGTCATTGTGACATTTTGGTGACATCACCCAGCTTCTGACCAATCACGTGGCAAAGTCATGTTGCACCAGGCATGGCAGTTTTGAGCAAGGCATGCTGGGAGAGCTTGTGCAAGGCCTGATGGGTAGTTTGTTTTACCAGTGATGAAGCAGATCTGTCAGTCATGCATGCGTCTGATGAGTCCTTGATTCTGATTGGCTGAGATGTGGGCATCTGTTGAGTGATATGTGAAGGTTTGTGCAAAAGCTAGAAACTATTATTAAGAAGAGTGGGAAATCTCAGTAGAAATTTGAGTAGATTCTTAGAAAAACAATAGATCCTGTTGGAAGACCTCTTCAGTAAAAGGAACAATACTGTCAGTATCAGTAAAAATGTCAATAGCAGGAAAAACATTAAAAGTCCCAGTAGAAACAATTGCAGATTTACACAACAGCCAGATAAATAGAAATAATAGATGTTATCAGTAGATCCTGTAAATAAGGACAAAAGTAGATGCTTTTGGTAGATCTGGTCCTCGGTAAAAACCGTAGATCCTAGAAAGAGAAAGTTAGACAATAACCACAGAACCTGCCAGTAGAACAGCAGTAAATCCCATCAGAAGAAGAAACAATAAAATCTGTTACTGGATTTTTTTTAGTAGAAACGCATCCTGTCCTGGTGTGATTGTGCAGCTGGGGTCAAAGGTCATACCCCAAGGCTGCTTTTGATCTCCATGTTTCTGAATGATCCAACTGAGTGTTGCTGACTGCTGATTTGTGGCTTTGGTTGATTGGCTTTCTCTGATTGGCTTTCTCCAGGCAACCATCATGTCAGGCTCGACCCTCAGTCTGAACCATGACCCCACACCCCTGCGCAGCACTCTGGGACGCCAGGCGAGCTTCCAGGAACGCAGCAGCTCCAGACCTCAGGTAAACATGGCTGACCTCTGTCCGTGCAAATTCTGTCATCCAGGTCGTAGTATGCTGAAAAAATGTAGAAACAAAAATCATCTGGACTTGGTTTTAGGTAGAAGACGTTTCACCTCTCATTGGGGGAGGCGACAGTGGTGCGGTGGGTAGAGCAGTCATCTCCCAACCAGAAGGTTGAAGGTTCGAATCAGTCCACTTGTCGAAGTGTCCTTGGGCAAGACACTGAACCCCCCGTTGCCCCCAATGGTTAGAGCCATCGGTTGAGGTGGCGCTGCAGATGGCTGCCATTGGTTCTGTACCGGAAACAAATTCCTTGTGTGTAACATACTTGGCCAATAAAGGTGATTATCCTGATTATCCAAGAGGCTTTGTCCTCCACCTGAAGGACAAAGGACATTCTTTCAAAGAGAGTGAAGTCCAGATCCTTTCCAGAGAACATCGCTGGTTTGAGAGAGGAGTCAAGGAAGCAATTTTTGTCCAATAGAACACCCCTCTCTAAATAGGGGTGGTGGATTAAGACACATCTTGTCATCTATCTACAACTCTGTTTTGAGATCTCTACCCAAACATTCCCACCCTAATTCACACCAGCACAATAGGCGCCGGTCCACAGATGAGGGTTCAAAGACAGGTAACGACGCTCACCGATACTGGGCTATAATGACTCAGTTGTTAGTGGACATTGTTGGCCTTCAAAGGACTGGAATCGGAACGAGTCAGTCATTAGGGGACATTGTTGGCCGGACTGAAACCCCGCCCAGGGGGATAAATATCTCCTGCTCACCACCAGTCAGACAGAACTGATGAGAGGTGAAACGTCTTCTACCTTGTTGGACCCAGCTCTTTTCACCACGTTAACTCTGAGAGACGAAGCAGTCCGAGTAACTTCAAAACAGTGCTGATTTATTCAATGAACACAGGTAAAATTAACATTACACGTGTTAGGTATTTTTTAGTCAGATAGAAATTGGATTGATTCTTTATGTATTAGAAATGTTTAGTGGAGATAGGATGTCTAGTTAGACTGTTAAATGCTTAGGCATGCTTATGAGTTTCTACAACGTACATCTGGTCAAGGGTAACTAGAGAGAAGAGTTGATGACTGTCTGCAGACAGGGTGTTTAATATTATTATTACGACGTGTATAACTGTAGCTTAAGCCATAATATGTTCTCATGTTTAAGTCACGACATGTACTAGAGGTTGTGAGAATGTTTTTAGTTACACACCACTTAATCAACAGACACACACACATGCACATTGATTTGCTTCATGTTTTGACTACTGCTATGGCCAGCTGCAAGGCTGGCAACAGAGACGTCGCGGTTGACGTTTCTGTGTAGTACGGGGCTAGCCCAACCGAAGGGATATAATGTTTGGAGGTGCAAGATACTTAAGCGTGTAATGTTAATTTTACCTGTGATCCTTTGAATAAATCAGCACTGTTTTGAAGTTACTTGGACTGTCTCGTCTCTCAGAGTTAGCAATGGTAATAAGAGCCATAATCCTACACACGCTCAGGAGTCCAAAATGCACGCAGGCAGCTGAAAGATGAAAAGCCCTGAACCATAACAGGCCTATACATTATATCACTTTGGGCTAGCCCCATACTACACAGAGACGCTAAACCGTGACGTCTCCCGGTGCCAGCTTTGCAGCTGGCCATAGCAGTAGTCACAGCATGAAGAAAATCAATGTGTGAATGTATGTTGATTATGTGGAGTGTAGCTAAAACATTCTGACATGACATTAAGCATAAGAAAATATTATGACTACGACTATGGTTAAACACGTCATAACAACAATAAACCTTCTGTCTCCTAACAGCAATCAACTTTTGTTTAGTTATCCTTGAACCTGAACAACCTGGAGTACCCTTATGGGAATGACTAAGCATTTTACAGCCTGAGCTAGACGTCCTGTCTACACTAAACATTTCTAATACATAAAGTGTCTAACCAATGTATCTGACTAAAAATACCTTACAACCTAAAACCAAGTCCAGATCATTTTTTTCTACGTTTTTTCAGATGGGTGACCTCTGACCTGTGAGGTATGTTATGTCAAATCCTAATCGTATTTTTAATGTTTTGAACTATTGTTGTGAACTTCCTCAGGTCACTCCTCGGTCCAACACACTGCCCTCTGACCCCCAGCGCAGAGCCTTTGCTATGAGGAAGATGAGGCAGGAAGTCAATGAGATCCTAAACCAGAACCCTGTGGAACTTCACAAGGTGACCTTTGACCCCTGAATATCACACTTCAGAGTGGCAGGATATTAACGTACTTGTGATCCTAACAGTGTGTTTCTGTTTATAGCTGACTCTAGAGAAGGCCTCGGACCTGGAGGATTTTGGTTTCAGTGTTTCTGATGGTTTATTAGATCGTGGCGTGTACGTTAACAACATCCGACCAGGAGGCCCGGCAGAGTGTGGTGGCCTCCAAGCCTATGATCGAATACTACAGGTACAAACAAACAATTACAGTATGTACAGCCATGCACCTCTGTGAGGATGTACTCACCCACAGCAGAGCTTTGAGCTAAATGCTCATGTTAGCATGCTAACATACAGCAACAAGGCTAATAGATGTATTTCCTGTTTACAAACATTAGAGGACACGTGCACATCGACGCAGACAAAGCGCACCAGTGTACTATTATTTTTGCTTATCTTTGGGAGATTTTCATCGTTTTAAATAGTAATCTGTTGAACAAAGCCAGTGACTACCTTCAAACCATGTGTGGTCTTTCACTGAAGTGCTATTACACAGCATTGTTAACAGTCTACATAAAAATGCACAGAAAATCACATTATTCATATCGCTTATCCACATTTTCTGAAACTTAAAACAAAAATAATAGTAGCCATTTGTAGTGTAACAACTGTATATTTGCAGTTACCCTCATTTCTGCTTTTTAGCATCTTTATAGCTAACAATAACAACTGTGATTAGTAGTTATCACCCAGCCCTTAATAACATGGATTAGCCTGTTTTGATAAATAAAATGCCCTCTGTCTTATTTTAGCCAGTTAGCAGCTTATGCTAACTAGCACTAACCACAAAATACAACTGAGCTTGATGACATTAGTTTTGCAGGTATTTAGTTATAAATAGTGTTGGACTGCTACTAATCTAGCCACGGGGGTTGAAAAAGAAAGAAGGAGGAAAGAAGATAAGGAAACATGGTGGTGGAACGAGGAAGTACAGGACAGCATTCAGAGGAAGAGGCTAGCTAAAAAGAAGTGGGACATAGAAAGGACTGAAGACAGTAGACAGGATTACAAGAAATTGCAGCGTAGAGTGAAGAGGGAGGTGGTAATGGCCAAACAGAAAGCATATGATGAGTTGTATGCCAGGTTAGACACACGGGAAGGTGAGAAGGACTTGTACAGATTAGTGAGACAGAGAGATAGAGATGGGAAGGATGTGCAACAGATAAGGGTGATTAAAGACAGAGATGGAAAGGTGCTAACAAGTGATGAGAGTGCAGAGAAGATGGAAGGAGTATTTTGAGGAACTGATGAATGAGGAAAATGAGAGGGAAAGAAGGGGGGAAGAGGTGAATATTGTAGAGCAGGAAGTAGCA